CTCACCTTTTGCTCTGTTGCGAACATTTTGATTTTATGTTCCGCGCAATTTTGGCTAGGGTGTGGAGGGTGGGTTGCACTTGACCCGTTCGATTTTTCTATCCCCTCCCAAACTTCGTTTTCCCTCCCTTATCTTGTGGGGGGGTGACAGGCGACATGACTTGTTGACCTGAAACAGTTACCAGACACTTGACTTGTGTTTGTGCGGTTTCACCCCCGACTCAATTAAGATAAGCAAAGACAAAAAGAAATATTAAATACATGTCCGACCTTCGAGCGATTTGCGTGGCGTTTTGAGTTTTACGTTTGTTTGAATAAGAAATTTAATTTACAAAGGGACGAGCACAAACATATATATATGCACTGATATATGTATACATAGGCTTGGAGTCTTATATATATATAGTGCCCACGGTTTTCCTAGGACTAAATAAGATGCCAAAACTTTTGATGTTTACAAGCACCGCATTGACTTTGTGAAACGCTGGACGGAGAGAGCTAAACTCTTAACTGGTGCGGATGCTGCAGTGCTGGCCCAGGCACCTCCACATTTGCAAAGTTTGCTTCACAACAAGAGGTTGGCTCTTTGGCAAGAGATGCTTGATTTTTACGAGTATCCAGACAAAGAGTTGGTACGTGATATAACAAGAGGTTTTCCAGTCACTGGATGGCTACCGGATTCGCAAGTGTTCCCAAAAGACTACAAACCTCCAAGTATGAATGTGCAGACGTTGCAATCTTTGAGCAAAGGCTTGAATGAGAGAGTCAAGTCCAAGCTTGGAAGTTCCACTGCTGACTTTTTAGGGGAAGCTACTTGGGAGGAAACTGAAAAGGAGCTGCAAGAGGGCTGGATGGAGGTGGATTTAGAAGGTGGCCAAGACGCAGCTTGGGCTAGGGTGAAGTTCACCCGGCTTTGCTTGGGAAAGCCATGGACTTAAAAAGCGCTTACAAGCAATTTGGTATTTGTGTTGAAGACAGACAGAGGATCAGGGTTGCTACACGCAAACCAACAACTTCAGAAATTGTGCTGCTGATGGTTAATGCACTCCCATTTGGAGCCACGGGAAGTGTATCTGGCTTCTTAAGAATTTCAATGTTCCTGTGGTTCCTGGGTGTTGTTGGACTACGACTGGCTTGGACGAGCTTTTATGATGACTACACAATGATTAGCAGAGAAGATTGTGCGAGCAATGCAGCATGGAGTGCAGAGTGCTTGTTTGAGCTGTTAGGAATCCTCTACGCAAAGGAGGGTAAGAAAGCAACCACCTTTGATCGGACATTTGGGTCACTGGGTGTGATCTTTGACCTCTCTGAAATTGCATGTGGAACTATTTCCTTGGTCCATACTGAAAGTCGCAGGAATGAATTGGTGGCTACGATTGAGGAAATGCTCAAGGAACAGAGCTTCACCGCCAAGAGTGTGGAGCGCTTGAGAGGACGGTTGCTTTGGTATGAAAACTTTGTGTGCGGTCGGCAAGCGAATGTCTTGGTTGCCAGTTTGAGCAAATTTATCAATGGAGTTAAGCATACTCAGAACATGTCGGATGAGCTGGGTGTGACCTTGAAGCTTTTGCTGGACAGAGTTAGAGCTGGTAAGCCTATTGTGGTTTCCAGGAAACTTTTTTCGACCTGGGTTTGCTTTACGGATGGTGCTTGTGAAAACAAAGCTTCTATGGGTGCAGTGCTGATCGGACCAACTGGCACTGCGTTCGGGTACTTTGGTGAAGAATTTCCGGATGAAATCCAGTCCTTCTTTTACCGGGAATCCAAGCACCCGATTTATGAAGTAGAGCTACTACCAGCTCTTGTAGCTGTAATAGTTTGGAGAGAAGTGCTGCAGTCATGTCAGGTTGTGTTTTACATAGACAATGAAGCAGCAAAAACAGGGCTAATCAGAGGTGCGGGAGCGACCCCTTTGGCTAATGCCATAATAGGTAACTTCTGCATAGCTGAAGCCGAACTTCAGTTGAAAACTTGGTTCAACAGAGTTCCAACGCACAGCAACTTGAGTGACGGTCCTAGCCGTCAAGACTTCGAGTTAGTCAATGCTCTTGGGTGCACCAGGTTTGAAATTCCGTGGTCAACTGTCAGTGGATTCATAAGTTCACGCCGTGGCTGAAGTGGGGCTGTGGCGGGGCGTGAAAGGACTGACCCCAATTGCATTGTGTTGGAAAAAGAGACCGTTCTTCAGAAACTTCAGCTGTCGTTTTTTCCAACTTGTTTTCTGTGCGTCGAGCGGATTTTTAAATTTTTTGGTGACACGAATTTTTTAACGTTGCGTTTTCACGGTGCTATGTGTTTTGCAAGCGGTTCAATCTTTGGAAATAAGTTTTTAACTCCCGCAGGGATGAAAACCTTATTTCCAATTTTTGAAAACACTTTGTGTGGCAAAGTGTTAGCTGGAAAAACACGTACTCCAATTTTTAAGAAAACCAAAGACGTTTAATTTTTTATACAAACATGTTTCCAAACCTGAAACAACTCTTTCCAATGTTGTTGGAAAGAAACATCCTGATTTTTATTGCATGGCAATATTTTGGCTTAAGGGTGTGGTGGGTGGGAAACTCCCTGTTTGTTTCCTGTTTGGTTGCAAATTCCCACCCTTCTTTTTCCCAACCCTTTTGCAACCACACACTTTTTATATGCCACGCCCTCAGCCCTGTGGCGGGGCGTGAAAGGACTGACCCCAATTGCATTGTGTTGGAAAAAGAGACCGTTCTTCAGAAACTTCAGCTGTCGTTTTTTCCAACTTGTTTTCTGTGCGTCGAGCGGATTTTTAAATTTTTTGGTGACACGAATTTTTTAACGTTGCGTTTTCACGGTGCTATGTGTTTTGCAAGCGGTTCAATCTTTGGAAATAATAGGCAAGGTTGGCGTGCAGGCTTTGAATTTCTTAGGCTGCAGCCGTTTTTGATGTTGTTTGTGCTGCGAAGTCAAGTGTCTCAGGGCTAAGTTTTGGGCATGTTGACAAGCTTGCTTGTGGCTTGTGTTCCAATGCTTTTGGGGCTTCTAGCTTTATCGGTATTAGAGATATTGATACATGCTACCATAGGGTGGACGGGTTGTGTCCCCCCTGTGTGTGCAGAGTGTTTGGTTCCCAGCCTGTCTGTGGTCAAAAGGGACCATGAAGTCACAACAATGGGGTGACGTGCAAGGGTTTTGTTCTGCCCAGCAACTGTATAGATGACCAGGGTTTACCAGCTTTTTGTGTGTTCATTGGACAAAAAGTGTCAACAATGGGGTGATGTGCAAGGGTGTTGCTGCCGAGCCACTGTATAGATGACCTGGGTTAAACAACATTTTGTGTGTTTCATGGGCGAGCAAGGCGCACGACCCGCAGTTCCAACACCAAAGCTTGCATTCCAGCTGGGAAGAATTTGCAGGTGAACCCACTGTGTTGTCATGAAGCTGTGTGGCTCTGTTCTTTGTGTGTTGCTGCTTGCCATTGTACGCCCTCTTGTTGGGGCACCAACAGACTACGTGAGTGTCCGCGCAGAAGTTGTCAAGGCTTATGCGCAACAAGCAGAAGAGATGGCGCGCGCGCTGGAGGTTCTGCAAGAAACAAGTGCAAGCACGTCTGCCGCTGCGCAGGAGATACAGAATGCTTGCACGGCTTGATGGCCCGCAACCCATGTTTGAGTGATTGTCGCCCGCCTCTTGTGAGGCGGCCCGTGCCAAGCACGAAGGCCAAAAGAATAGGCAAGGTTGGCGTGCAGGCTTTGAATTTCTTAGGCTGCAGCCGTTTTTGATGTTGTTTGTGCTGCGAAGTCAAGTGTCTCAGGGCTAAGTTTTGGGCATGTTGAAAAGCTTGCTTGTGGCTTGTGTTCCAATGTTTTTGGGGCTTCTAGCTTTATCGGTATTGTATGAGAGATATTGATACATGCTACCATAGGGTGGACGGGTTGTGTCCCCCCGTGTGTGCAGAGTGTTTGGTTCCCAGCCTGTCTGTGGTCAAAAGGGACCATGAAGTCACAACAATGGGGTGATGTGCAAGGGTTTTGTTCTGCCCAGCAACTGTATAGATGACCGGGGTTTACCAGCTTTTTGTGTGTTTCATGGGACCAAAAGTGTCAACAATGGGGTGATGTGCAAGGGTTTTTTGTTGCTGCCGAGCCACTGTATAGATGACCTGGGTTGCACAGCATTTTGTGTGTTTAATGGGCGAGCAAGGCGCGCGACCCGCAGTTCCAACACCAAAGTTTGCATTCCAGCTGGGAAGCACCTGCAGGTGAACCCACTGTGTTGTCATGAAGCTGTGTGGCTCTGTTCTTTGTGTGTTGCTGCTTGCCATTGTACGCCCTCTTGTTGGGGCACCAACAGACTATGCGAGTGTCCGCGCAGAAGTTGTCAAGGCTTATGCGCAACAAGCAGAAGAGATGTTGCGACTCAGCTTGCTGATGAAACTTTATTTCCTCTAACACTAAAAAGAAGTTGAACGCAACTTCTAAGCGTGCCCTCCTCTACACTACCTGCGTGCGTCTCCGCGACCTGCGTAAGCATAAGGGTTTGTGGCTATCTTAATTTGATGGTTTCTGCACCTGGGTTCTTTTGAGCCTTTCTCTCTGGCGTTTTTGTCTGTGTGTTGTGTTTTTCTGTTTGTTTGAACCGGTGCAAACCTCAAACTTTTTGTCAAACAGTTGACCCACAAACTCTCGCGGTTTTTTCAGAAGTTTCAGTTTTACTTATGAAATCTGTGCAATGGTGGCCATTGACTTTCAAGGTATGCCTCCATAGGGAGGGAGGGAGGGTTTTCCACTTTTGTGTGGATCTGCGTTTTTTGAGAGCAATGTGGGTGTGAGATGGTGCCTCTAGCTTGGGATCCCGACAGATACGACGTCATCAGTGAACATCAATTATTTCTGTGCTCTTGGGCAATTTGGGATCATTGTGAATTTGCAGAGGTGAGGTTGTTTGCTTTCCTGGCCATTTCAGACCTTCAATCGTTTTGCACTGTTTCTTACTGCATTTACGTGGACAGTGAGGACATTATTGCTAGACGTAATGACTTCAGAAGACTTGAAGGGTGATTTGAACGCTGGAAGTTTTGCAGAAATGGTTGGGGCCTTACCATCTGATTCTGCAGATGTAGAGGCACACAATGCTGCGACAGATGTTGCATTTCAGACGGATGGTTCTGAGGTTGAACCTGGCACACCCATGGATGATTTGTTTCGAAATGCATCGCCTCTTGAATTTGTAGGTCAGGAGTTGCAGGTTGATTCAGAGAGCAATGTGCAGGGATCCAGGAGCCCCTTGCGCTCACGTGCAGATGTGCCCATCTCAAAGGCAGATTACAATAGGGCCCTTTTCGAAGCGCGTTTGAGTGCAGTGGGTGAATCAGAGCTGAAACTCCCATGGGAACAAGGTGTTTGGAAAGCCATTTTCGCAGATGATGATAGCGATGTTTTTCCCTCAGTCTTGCCGCCCGTTCCAGGTGAATATCTTGTGCAGGCTTCTGCAACGAGTTCTGCGTCTGGAGATGTGTCGGAGGCTGCCGAAAAGAGCATGGCAAGGAGTTCAATTAGTCAGGAACTGAAGTTGCCTTTTTACTCATACGCAATCAAGGTTCTTCCAGACAGGAATGCATTGGAAGAGACAGAGAAGGTTTGGTCACATGCGTTGTTCAAGTGGCAGCAGATTTTTGAAGTTTTGGGTTATCCGGGACAGCTTGGCAGGGAAATTTTACAGGAACAGGTGGACAGCAATCCGAATGCAGATTGTACGGCTCTCAGGGATTCACTTGGAATAAAATCAGCGAGAACTGCATTGAAACGTGCTCAGACATTGTTGCAGTATTTTTCATGGCTGCAAATGCATGTTGCGGAGTGGGATCCATGGAACAGATCGCATTGCTTGCAATACCTGCAGAGAGATGGACATTCGAGACCATCAGCTTCGAGAGGCATGACACTATGGGAGGCATTCAGATTTGCAAGACATGTTTTGGGAATTGAGATTCCATATCAGTTGCTTTGTGATCCTCAGTTACGTGGTAGGGCTCAACGTTTGATGGCAGAGAAGGCCTCCTATAAACCTGCAAGGCCGCTCAAAGTTGCCGAGGTGGCGTTGCTGGAGACTTCAATGCAGGAGCCTTTGGACCCAATTGACAAGTACATGTTGGGTGCTGTAATTTTTGCAATCTTGTCACGTTCAAGGTGGTCTGACTTGAAATTCATTGACCAAATTTGGATTGACAAAATGGAATACAAGGGCGAGCTTTATGGCTTTGTGGAGGCTTGCACAAAACATCACAAGACGGCCACGACACTGACAAAGAAGCAGTTGTACATGCCGTTGGTTGCACCGGTGCTGGGAGTAACAACAGTTGACTGGACAAAACATTGGGTTCAGGCTTGTGACAGTCTTGGAGTTGATTTTCAGGTTCAGCCTTTTGGGGCGTTGTGCAGAGCGGCATCTCATGGTGGTGTGCTGTGCAAGAGACCGTGCACTACGGAAGAGATTGGCACCTTTTGAATAGGATCCTCAAAACAAACGTGGAGAATGCGATCACGTCGCACTCTTTGAAACACACGACTTTATCATGGTGCGCGGCTTACGGACTAGATGAACCTTCTAGGACCCTGCTTGGTCACCATGAGCTCCAAGGTGCAAAGGCTATGACTGTGTACTCGAGGGATTTGCTGACAAGACCGTTACAGCTGTACTGCAGTATGTTGTCAAACATACGCCTGGATCATTTCAGACCAGATGTGTCTCGCACTTCACGCATGGTTGATCTTTTGAAGATTTCTGAGAAAGCCACGGAGCCTGGGCATCAAATGCAGATGGAGTTTGTTGACCCCCAAGAAATGGCAGCAGCAGAGCCAAGTGAGGAGGCTGTTGAACGTGCCTCGCCTATGGATGCAGCTGTTGGGCAGAGAAATGCGGAGAGGTCTGACGATGAGGCTTCAAGTGAGATTCCATCTACTGGGTCCAGTTCGTCTGACAGTTCGTCGGCAAGTGAGGCAGAAGGTGCAAATCCATTGGGCTTGCATATTGAGGGCCCGGTCTGGAGGAACAGAAAAAGCCACGTGGTGCACAAGTGCGCTGAGCTGAGTTTCCAAACAACGTGTGGTAGGAAAGTGGATGAGGCTCATTTTGAGCTACTTGAGGAAGGCTGCTCCACCTTGAATGCAAGATGCAGCAGATGTTTCAAAGGAGAGGTGGTGTCAAGCGTGGACGGTCTGGTGAAAGCACTGGATCAGAGTAAGTCAAAGCGCTTAAAGCGGCAGTGACCTCTTTGGCTGTGCGTCAAAAAACATTAAGCTGAAGTCACCACCTTACATCTTGGCTTGTCATTTGATAGTTGTGAGATTGAGCGCATTGAATTTTTCTTTTTGGAGCACTTGTGAAGTAAGTGCAATGTACTTGCGGGGTTTGTAAACGATGCTGCATTTTCTTTGTAAACACTAAGACACTGAGAGCAGTTTACATATAAAGGGCCGAAGGGCCATGGGAAAGCCCTGAGCTGTAAGCGGCTCATGGAGTGAGTTGATCCCTATGAATGCATGGGGATCGCAGCTCAGGTTCAAAGGAACAACCCGGTGTTTGAACCGGTCATTGTTGGAACTTCATTGCATGACAAATTTGACATGACAAAGTGAAAGGAGGTTGCTTTATGCATGGCATGAGCTTTGCATAATTTCTTGACGGAGTTTTCTCAACTTGTTGATCGGTGCTTGGAGTGGTGAAATGTGTTTTTCATTTCTTTCTGCACTTCTTAGATATCCTAGCTGGCCCTTGCTGTGATGGCTTCTTCATCGTTTCTGGATTCAGAGGCCACTTTTACGCAACAAGCGACTGAAGCTGGTCTTGGTGAACAATGGATCGATGCCTTGAAGGGCAGCTCCCTATCTACGTTTGCAAAATTAAGTTTTGCTGTTACCAGTCCAGGAGTTGCCGCAACAGATGACCAGATCAACACCTTTCTGGGTACATTGCGGAGAGGGGTTGCACCTTCGATAGCAGATATGGCGGCTTTCAAGCGTGTGCTCTTTGAAAGTCAAACTCTTATGATGCATTCCCTGAAAGCTACAGCAAAAGGTGAGGAAACAACTCCAAAGAAAATGTCTGCTCCGGAAAGGGAGGCCCGCTTGGAACTTCAAAGGCAGACGTTCCGTGGCCTTGACATTTCTGGTCCCCTAGAGCCGGCACATAGCCTTTATGATTTGTGTGCAAGTATGGTTGAGAAAAATGAAGTGGCCTACATAGGCCCTACGAAGTGTTTGTCGCGGCAGCAAGAGCTCATGGGCAGCAAACCTGAAAAGGAGTTGCAGCTTGATGTTAGCAAGACATCCTTGGTGGTGAAGGAGCAGGCCAGCAATGCAGAGATACATATTACATCAGACCTTAGCCTTTACCAGGCCCTTCAACGTAGGACCTTGGCGCTGGACCTTACGGGCATTGCGTCTTATGAAGTGATGCGCAAATGGATTGACAGGCTGTTTGCATTGTATGCACAATCTCCTGCACCGGGTTTTTCAAAGATATCCCAATCGCAGTTGCTGAGGGCAGATCGACAGGCCTTCGTCAGAATGAGCGAGTTGTTCACAGGCTCACTGAAGGCACCTATTGCGGCCGGGAAGCCGCTGGATCCATACATTGAGAAGTTGGAATCGGATATGACGGTGACGTACTTCATGCTGCCGGTGCCCACCAGCCATGCAGGTAGTTCGACAGACAAGTCGGACAAGGACAAAAAGAGACCTGATGCACCGAACGCAAAAGGAGGGCAACCACCCAAGAAAGTCCCAAAGGGAAATGCCAAAGGTAACAGCAAAGGCAAAAAGAGGGACCCGATTCCTCAGGCCTTGAAAGGCCACCATGCGCGAACGCCACAAGGCGAACCCATCTGTTTTGGCTTCAATTTGGGAACTTGCAAACAGGGATCAAAGTGCCCCAGACAGCATGTTTGCTCGGTGCCGGGATGTTACAAAGCGCATCCCCAAACTGAACACCAGTGACCCGAGCGATCAAAAGCTGATGTTTCATCACGTGGTGGCAAGCATAAGTTCCAGACTGTGGCAAGTGAACATGTCAACAAAGATGACAGTGTGAGATCAGAGTTTGGGGCGCATGGTTTCTTCTGCGTGGAGCTTTTTTGCGGGACAGGTAACCACTTATGCAATGAAACATTATTTTTCTGACAGTTTTGGGGTGGACCACGAAGTGGGCAAACAACGAGTGAAGATTGTCTGTTTAGATTTGACAAGGCAGGACCATCAAGAACTGGTGGAACAGTGGCTCCTATCGGGGCAATGTTTATGGGTGCATTTCGGCATCCCCTGCGGAACGGCATCGAGAGCGAGGTTTCGAAGGCTCAGCAAAAAACACCATGGGCCGCCCCCGATAAGGAACTCCAGGTATCCTGATGGCATCCCGGAAGTTCAGGGACTACACTTGATCAAGTTACGGGCGGCTAATAGGCTTTACAGCTTCATGAGAAAGTTGATTTTGCTGTTGGACAATGCAGGCGTAGTTTGGACAGTTGAGAATCCTTTTACAAGCCTTCTCTGGGAAACTTCTTACTGGAGAGATATTGCCGCAGAAACCGACCCTTTTTACGGTGAGTTGCATAACTGTATGTTTGGAGGGCAAAGATTGAAGCGTACATGTCTTGCTTCAAACAATAAGGCCATCATGGCTTTGAACGTTCTTTGCGATGGCAGGCATGAACATGCTCCCTGGTCCATGACAGATGGTGTATTTGATACTGCTTTGGAGGCCGAATACACACCCATGCTTGCGAAAGCTCTTGCGGCTGTGGTTTTGGAAGCAATTGCAAAAGAATACAAGCCGCCAAAAGTTGTGCAATACTCCAAGCGTCTCAAGTTATCGCATTTTCGAGCGATCGCGGCAGCCAAGCAGCCTACTAAGGCGATGACTATGCACCTTGTGCCAGAGTTCTCCCATGTACTTGTCTTGTCCAATATGCCCTCCAGCGCCTCCTTTTGCAATGAAAATGCAGCCCTGGCCAAGTGTGTAAACATACAATGTGGCGAGCAAAGCTTTTTCATCCCATGTGCTAGCAAACTTTTGAGAAAGACCATATAAAAGGGGGAGAAAGCCGTCTTCTCAAATTTACACTGGAGGGTTATGACGACAAAACCCTGGTGGATGATGTGGCGAATGGTTTTTCTCTTGTGGTGAAGTCTCCAAATCAAACGTGTTGCCCAGGAAACTTCTTCCAGCTGTTATTTCTGAGCAAGAGTTGCATGCAAACTCTCACAAGGCAAACCTGGCACTTCGATACATGACTAGGAGCAGCGGTGACCTTGAGTTGGACGAGAAGCTATGGGCTAAGACAGTTTCAGAGGTGGACAAGGGTTGGATGCTGGGCCCTTAACGTGGGACACTTTGAGCTCAGGGGACACCGTCTCCAGAAGGTTCCCACTGGAACAAGGTGGAAAGGTGAGACCGATAGACGATATGTCCCAGAGTCAAATAAATTCGACGGTGACTTGCTATGAGCAGGCGACGGTGGACGGGCCTGATGTGATCTGTGCCTTTGCCACCTTCTTGATGAGATGCTTAGCCGAGCAAGGCAAACCCACCGCTTTGTCGGGGCGCTCTTTGGATTTAGCATCAGCCTACAGACAACTGGCAATAGCAGACAGCTCAAGGAAGCATGCTTTTTTGTCGGTATACAACCCGGCATCCGGCTCAGCAGAGCTCTTTCAGCAGGTTGCTCTGCCATTCGCTCTCGTACGGCGGTGAATGCTTTCATCCGTTGTGCGCGATTCTTGCAATGGACAGCAGCGAAGTGTTTGCGACTTCCCCTATCCTGTTACTTCGACGACTTTGTTTCCTTCTCGCCCTCACAGCTTGCAGGCAACTCACAGGCAGCCTTGTGTTTGATGTTGGATGTGCTTGGTTGGGGCTTTGACAAGGAAGGCCCCAAGAGCGATGACTATTCCCAGCTTGTTTGCGCCTTGGGGGTGAAGTTTGATCTTTGCAGTTGCAAGGAGGGTTTGTTGAATGTTTGCCATACAGTGAAAAGGGTGAGGGAAACAACTGCTTTGCTGGATGAAATTTTGGCACTTGGTGCCTTGAAGAAAAGAGATGCCCCTGTTGTAAGAGGTAGACTGGCCTTCTGCGATGCCTTTATTTTTTGGAAGGTTGGGAAAGGTTGCGTTACAAGAGCTGACCCGACATGCATATGCGTCTCCCTTCACCGAGAAGACTTCAGATGCTTTGAGGAATGCGTTGAAACTTTTGAAGGAAAGAGTTTTGGGAGGCAAGCCTCGTGTGTTGTCATGTCGCATGTTGGATACTCTTTTTCTGCTTACGGGTGCAAGTTTTGAACCGGAGAGTGGAGCTGGTTTAGGAGCAGTGCTTGTTTCAGATACGGGCGCTGTTATGGCTTGGTTTGGACTGAAAGTAAATCCGGATCGGTTAAGCACTCTGATGGAAGGTGGAAAAGAAACGGTATAGGTGAGCTGGAAACTTTGGCCGTTGCGATGGCCCTGTTGCTATGGGCTAAACACCTTGACTCTACGCGGTTGCTGTTTTACATAGACAACGAAGGTTCGAGATATGCACTGATAAAGGGTTACTCGGTTTCTCGCAGTATTACTGCGATCTGTGCTCTTGCGGCCACCACCTTGGATGCTCACTATGTCCTGCCTTGGTTTTGGAAGAATACCTTCAGTTTCGAATCTTGCAGATTTTCCTTCACGCCAGTTGAAACACCCCTTGTTAAAGGAAGATGCTGAAGTTCCTAAAGAGGAAGTTGAAGCATTGTGAGGAAAGCCTCTTCACCACAATGAGATGGGTGGGGGCCGTGGCGAAAGCGGCGGCAGGATTTCCCCCACTTGAGTAGGAAAAAGGTGAATGCGCTTCGTTGTCAACGTGCTTGCAGTTTTGTATTGTGTGGTTTTGAGTTTTTTCTGGCGAGGTGTTTTGGCCTCAGAAGTCTGCGTATTCACGACGGCGTTTTTGTATATATGTATATATATACAAGATATATATATATATACTTGGTTTGTTTGAGACGTTTTTTGACCGGTGCTTTTGCACATGTCAAAAGTCTTTTGTGACGCATGTTGCTCGGTTTTTAGTGAGGTTGGGCTCGATGGTTTTAGTGTGGTTGGAAATAAGTTGCGACTCAGCTTGCTGATGAAACTTTATTTCCTCTAACACTAAAAAGAAGTTGAACGCAACTTCTAAGCGTGCCCTCCTCTACACTACCTGCGTGCGTCTCCGCGACCTGCGTAAGCATAAGGGTTTGTGGCTA